CATTTGATTGCAGAGGTCTCCCTGCGGTGTGCACTGTGTCACCGCCCCGCGAGAGGCCCCCACGGTGGTGACAGGGCGAGTGCTCCGGAGCGACACTGTCTGCTACAGAAGCCCCGGGGGGAGCGTCACCTGAGGTTTCACCGCTCATCTGAGCAGCGGGGCGGGGCCCGTGGGGCTGCTGGGGGACCAAGCCGGATGCTACATGCAGAAGCACATACCTGTCACTGTGATGAGTTTTATTTCCTCCCGATGAAGCCCTGGAAGGGGAGGGATTACAGGCTCAGAAGCAGAAGGTGAGAGGATGAGAATCCCAGGCCATGGGTGGTTGAGCCAGAACCTGCACCCCTCCCAGGGTCGGTGGGCTACCACAGGCTCCAGAGGGCATGACATAGGTGGGGGGGGTCTGCACCCAGCCCGGGGGGGCTACCACAGGCTCCAGAGGGGATGGGGGTGCGGCTGCGGGTGCACGCAGGCCATGGCACCAAGGGGGGAGCCGGCCGGTGATTTCTGTGCACTGCCCTCCCCTTCCCGTCCTTGCTCAGCTGCTGGAGGCCGCTCCAGGGGGCCGTGAAGAGGCCGGAAGGAGGCCAGACCAGCCAGCAGAGGCCGTGGAGTCCTGACTCACTGGGATGCTCACTTCCTGTCCCGGAGAGCCAGCGTCCTGGTGGGAGTCCAGTGACCTTGGACAGTAGACTTGACAGCCTGTTCGGTGTCCTAGAGGCGTGTTTTCCTTCATTTCTCTGAGGACTCTAAGGAAGCAGCATACCTATCCTCATCAGTTTCCAGGGGCGGGTGTCTTTTCTTTTTTAGTGAGGCTAAAGGAACAGAACCTGGGATTCTGTCTCCGCGGACTGTGGGCTACTCACCCGAGTGCCGCCGTGTGTCGGGGAAAACCGGCCGCAGGGTACAGCTGTGGTCCTTGCGTCGTTGTAGTGGCCCCTGAGTTGTCCCTGTCTCTCCACATCTGTCCCCCCAAACCCACTTTTGTTGCTTCTGCCTGCCCACCCTTCTGCCTGCCCATCCATGCGTGTGTCCGTCCGTCCATCCATCATCTAGATTAAGCAGAAACTTTGACCTTGAACACGTGCTCTGCTGCTGTCATATGCGACTCCGGGGCGGTGACGGGACACTCGGGCCCCTTGCAGGAGGCAGGCCAGTCTCGCGTGACTGCTGACACGTGCAGATGGGAGAAGACGGAGTGTGGGCAGGATGCGGGCATGTGGTGGCGTTCTGCAGCTCTTGCTATTTTTAATCATCTTTTAAAGAATGTTCCTCCCTGTCATTCCTCTGTGGATTCTTGTTAGAACCAGAGCTGTGTCATCGCTCTCGTTGAGACCATTGTGATCTTCGTCTCTTCCCGAGTCTTTGAGAAACTAGGGTTTTGGTGTTTTCCTGGGCCTTTCTCAACGGTCCTGAGACGAACACAGTGGCCTGGGGGCGACTCTCCTTCAGCGGCAGCTGCTGGCCAGTGTCTCTCCTGGCCGTGGCCTTGCAGCTGTCGTCGGGCAGTGGGCGAGGTGGATTGATGACAGAGATTCCTGGGCTCCCGGTGACGAGGCGCTAGCCACTCTGATTTGATTCGTGGCTTCATAAATACTCATAACCTGGGTCCATGCGAGAGCCAGAGTCTGCCTCTTTATGTGAAGAGGGTCTGGGCAACCAGAGTGCCAGCACACGGCTGGCTGGCCTGCTCCCCGGCCGGGCGAGGGGCCCAGGCTGCGGGCGCGTGGTGGTGGAGTCGCCTCGGGGGCCTGGCCACCGTCACCGGTCAGCCTGCATCCGTGTGGCCCTGGAAGGGTGGGTGTTTGTGGAGCAGGACATTGCCCTCGTCGCCTGCCTGTGACCGTAGAGCCACACTGCACCCGCCATGGCCAGGGAGCTTTTCCACGGGACAGAAGAGTCCTCTCTTGAGTACTCTGTGTTTTCTTGTCTCATATTTGGATGTCAGTCTTAGACCTTTAAATAGAGAATTATGAGGCAGAATTTAACGTTGCTTTTTAGGGGCGCCTGGCTGGGCTCAGTCCGTGAAGTGTCCAGCTCTTGATTTCGGCTCAGGTTGTCAACGGTCTCAGGGTTGTGAGATCGAGTCCCATGTCAGGCTCTACGCTCAGCGTGGAGTTGGCTTGAGATTCTCTCTCTGTCTGTCTCTCTCTCTCCACCCCCTCTGCCCCTCCCCCACCGTACTCTCCCTCCCTCTCTAAAAAAAGAGAATTTATTTTTTAAAAATAACTTTTGTTTTCAGTTTACCCAAAGAAGTGAAAAAATAGTATGCACAGTTCCCATATGTGTTCATCCCATAAACCTCCCGAAGTGTTAGCGTCTTGCAGAGGTACGGTGTGGTTCCAGAAAGCAGGATGCTGACATGGATGCAGAGCCCTACCCTCGTGCACAGACCGGGCCTGGGGTCCCACCCAGGAAACCCCAGTGATGTCGCTGACATGTCTCTTCCAGTCACACTTCTTTCTTTGTCTCGCGACTGACACGCTGGAGGGCTGCTGGCTGGAATTTTGTGGGACGTTGCCGTGCTCTGGTGCCGAAGCGCCTGGTGCCGGGCCTGCCGCCGGGAGCAGCGTGGGACAGCGCCGCTCTTCCGACACTTCCTCCCGTTGGGGGATTTCTCCTTATGACTTAGAACCGGACACAGCATCCTTGAGGATGAGGACAGGCCGTAAGCGGGTGTCCGGTGGAGTGGCCCCTTCCCGCTCAGTGCGGCCGCCCTGGCTGGGCCCTTGTGTCCTGATGTAGCCCAAGCAGACAGCGCCCGCCTTCCAGCCCTTTGCACAACAGCAGCGGCGTGTACTCGCCCTTCTCCCTGACCTGGGAGAGGGAACACTTGCTGGGGACGGGCGGTCCCAGGTGCCCCTGCTCTGGCCCACGGCGCTGAGGCCCCCGGCGGTTTCCGTCCCCTGCGCTCGCTCCCACACTGTCAAAGTTGATGGCAAGAACCTCCGACCGATAACACACCTTGGTTTGGTCAGATACCGACTTGACTTCACTTCTCAGAATCCTTCTGTTTTTCAGGATTTCAGTTTTCTCCGAATGTGGTGCTCCGAGCATCCAGTCATTTTTGAAAGGCAGGTTGCTGAGGTTCAGGGTCAGCGGACTTTTGTTGGGGGGGCACCTGGTGCTTCTGCACACTCGCTGGGCAGCCCGCTCTGCACGTTTTCTCACTGGGCCAGGGCCGGGGCGGGGGGCGGGCCTGGGGCCCGACTTCCTAACCAGGCAAGCCTGGATGTGCAGCCCAGCCCCCCCAAGCCTCTAGTGAGGGGGCACCTCAGATCCCTCACCCAGCAGGCTCCCTGGACCCTTGACTCTGAAATTTGTATGGCTGCAGGCTCGCACAGAAGCTGCGGTGAGGGGTGGAGAAAGCCCCTGGGCCGGGCTTGGCCATACTTCTGACCACGGGGCCGGGCCCTGGAAGCTCAGACCGGACGCGTGTGGGCCTTTCCGCTCTCTGGACACCCTCATGAGGATGTCCTTTCCTCCTGAATGGACAGGTGTCAGGGATGGCATTTCCAGTGTAGCTCATCAGGGTGGCAGAATGCCCACTGGCTTGCTCGCCCCTCTGAGTGGGACCTGAGCCGGGCCCCTCGTGTGTGCATGAAGCCTCTGTGCATTCTCTGTCCATAGCGTTCGCCGTAAGTGTGGGGTGCGTGGTAGGGCTGTCTCCTTACTCCTCTCTCCTTACTGGTAAGAACCCGAGGCCCAGAGATGGGAAGTGACCAGCTTGGGTCACACAGTGGCCGTAGATGCTGGGGATGGTTGTAGCGTGGTGTGTTTTTTGGGGTTTCTTTTTGGGTAGGGTGAGGCAAATGCTCCCTGGGAAAATATAACGAACAGATTTGATGCAAATGGTAATGGTTTAAAGAAGTTAATCACGTACGCAGTTCTTCCCCATAAGACCAGAATCTGGGAATCTGGTGTTTGCTCTAATCTTTTGGTTCTCAGAAAGGGTCCTCCCCCGTTAGGCCCCAGCATTGGCCTGGTGCCCGCCCGCCCGCCCGCCTTGGAGCCCCGCCCTCAGCGCTCAGTACCCCGGGGAGGAGTGCCTGAGGCCAGGCCCCCCGGGGAGCGCTTCCCTCCCTTGGTGCCCTGTGTGTCCTCAGTCCTCGGCCGCAGGGGATTGGCTGGTTTTTTGGAATCCAGTTTGGCCTTTGGGGGTGCAGAGACCAAGCTGATCTTGGGGGGTGAGCGGGCGAGGGCGCAGAGTGGCTGGCGTGGCGCCCTGGCGGCCAGGAGAGCCCAGTGCAGGGCGTGGGGGCTGGAGGCAGGGGGCTGAGTGGCTGCTGGTGAATGAGTGCGCATTTTGGGCAGCTACTTTGTGAAGTGGCTTTAGCGGTTGACTGAGGAAGAGGCCTCTTGGCAGAAGGAAAAGATTGGGGGAGTTGTACAATTTCCTCTCGTTAATAACCCTCGTGTTCATGGGTCACCTTCTGTAGGAGTGCGCGCTCGCAGCCCGCGGCGGACTTTAGCTACCTGACTATGGAGGCTGTCATCGGTGACGGCCCCCACTGCTTTAAAAGGCACGCCTGGTCCTCTGCCCCACCACCTAGGAAGGGGACAGGCAGCCGCCTATCCCCTATGCCCCCAGGGGCCGTGTCCCTTTCGGTTCCTGGAGGCAAGGCAGCGCGCTACGACAGGGTCCCTCCTGTGTCGGGAGCCGAGGGGGGGGGAGCCCTGGTGGCCCTGGGAAGAGGCGGGGCAGTAGGGGTGCTCCGTGGCCCCGCCCCCCCGCCCCCCACCCCCGCAGTGCAGGGTTTGCGGTGGGGCAGGCGGCACCTCCCCGGATCGTCCCCGCCGGTCCCGTCTAGTGTCCACAACCGCCGGGTGAGCCCAGCTCCGAAGGACGCGCCATCCAGTGCCCTTTGCCGGGGCGGGGGGGTGGGGAGAGATGCCGGGGACTGGAAGCGGTCCCGGCGGACCTTGGTGGAGTGGGCAGCGCGCGCGCCCCCGGGCGCGAGGCTGACTCTCGGAGTAACCTGTGACCCCTGTCGTTGTAGGAAGACATGGCCGCTCACGTCGGAGCTTCCCGCACGCCGCAGGAGGTGATGGAGCATTACGTAAGCATGTACATCCACGGAAACCTGGGGAGAGCCTGCATCCCCGACACCATCCCCAACCGGGTGACCGACCACACGTGCCCCGGCGGAGGGCCCCTGTCCCCCAGCCTCACCACCCCCTTGCCTCCCCTAGACATCTCGGTGGCCGAGCAGCAGCAGCTGGGCTACATGCCGCTGCGTGACGACTATGAGATCGAGTACGACCAGGACGCCGAGACGCTCATCAGCGGGCTCTCGGTCAACTACGACGACGAGGACGTGGAGATCGAGCTGAAGCGCGCGCACGTGGACATGTACGTGCGCAAGCTCAGGGAGAGGCAGCGGCGCAAGAACATCGCGCGCGACTACAACCTGGTGCCCGCCTTCCTGGGCAAGGACAAGAAGGACAAGGAGCGGCCGGCCAAGCGCAAGGTCACCAAGGAGGAGAAGGAGCTGCGGCTGAAGCTGCGGCCGCTCTACCAGTTCATGTCGTGCAAGGAGTTCGACGACCTGTTCGAGGGCATGCACAAGGAGAAGATGCTGCGGGCCAAGATCCGCGAGCTGCAGCGGTACCGGCGCAACGGCATCACGAAGCTCGAGGAGTCGGCCGAGTACGAGGCGGCGCGCCACAAGCGCGAGAAGAGGAAGGAGAACAAGGGCGCGGCGGGCGCCAAGCGCGGCAAGGAGGACGCCAAGGACGGCGAGTTCGCGGCCATCGAGCACCTGCCGGGCTTCGAGCTGCTGTCGGACCGCGAGAAGGTGCTCTGCAGCTCCTTGAACCTGAGCCCCGCGCGCTACGTGACCGTGAAGACCATCATCATCAAGGACCACCTGCAGAAGCGGCAGGGGATCCCCTCCAAAAGTCGCCTTCCTAGTTACTTGGACAAAGTCCTAAAGAAAAGGATTTTAAATTTCCTCACGGAGAGCGGGTGGATATCCAGGGACGCGGCCTGAACGCGCGCCGCTTTGCGGGCGGGCGCCGAGCCCCTAGGACTCGGGTTGAGGGAGCGGGAGGAGACGCTCGCCCCGCCCCCCCCCCGGGTTGTTGCTCTTTTTTAAACAGATTGAGTTCCTTTCTTTTAGGCTATAAATTCTTTTCGTGGTCCTCTGAAAAAGCAGCAATAGTAACGATTTTATGTCGGATCATGGGGGCAGCCGATATATGTATATTTTAACTTAGTCCTCAGTTCATACCTGAAGATGACGATTTGCCTTCACTGTTCGGTTTGGGGAATATTATGAGATTGGGTCATTTCCTTTTGTGTCTTCCCTTTGGTACGCAACTCTTGGGCTGTGGGTAAAAGGAGCAGCTTTCTGCTGGGCCCGCCAGCCACCAGCTTGACCCTGTGACGTGACCTCTGGCTGGCCGCCGGGGACGCCCTTGGGGGGGCCCACTGCCACCCCCACGGACACCCCAGCACAGCCCCAGCACGTGGCACTTTAGGTGGGGGCCGGGGCGGGGCAGGTGGGCGGCGAGGCTGGAGAACGGCGGGCTGCTTCCTCGGGAGCTTTAGAGGAAGAGTCGCGTGGAACACAGTGTCCGGGCGGGCTTCCCCTCGACTCCTGGCCGCGGGCAGTTGGAGCCTGCGGATCCCGAGCCCGGAAACCACCCCTTGCCTCATTTACTGGGGGCGGAGCCTGCGGGCTCCCCTCGGGCAGGCTCCCTGCTGTGTGGAGGGGGGGGGGCGCGCTCCGGGGCCGCCGGCAGGACTAGCGGGGGCGCCAGAACTCTGAGCCAGTCTTCCAGGGGCTGCTGCTTGCTGCCCTTAGGACTTGCAGCAGTAGTAAGCACCCCCCTGACTTGGAAGAACTCGTTTTAGAGATTGGAGGAGGGCTCTGAGTTCTGGAGTCCCCTTCCTCCAGGATTCTCATGGCGGTTGCAATGACCTTTCCCACTGCAACCCTGACCTTGACCGTGCTGGCCTGGCTAAGCATCTCACTTCAGGTGGTGGCCAGCGCTCTGCGGACCAGCCGGCCTGGCCTGGTCTGTTCGCACAGCAGGCTCTGGTAGCGCGGGAGGGAGCCTTCGGGGCGAGGCCCTGCGTGGCTTCTCTGGGTCCCGGTCCCGGACCGCTCAGCTTCTGCCCAGCCCTGCTGTCTCTGCAGGGGCCCTGCTTCCGTGGATGGACACGGTACCTTCCTCCTGGAACTTGAGTCACCCATCTGTCTTCCTGCTGCTCAGGGTTGGTTCTCCTAAGGCCCTGCTTTAGAGCCGGGGTGACTGCAGAGCCCAGCACTCCATTCTTCCTGGAGCTCATCCTGCCTCTCCTGCCCCCGCCCCCCCCATAGCTACCAAGAGACTGTTTACCTCCCAGAATGTTGGGGCTTGAAGTTACATTAAAGTGAAGTTATTTGAAAGACGAAAGAAAAAAAGACCCTCATCATTTCCAAGGACTTAATTACGGTGCCTTTTCCTTTCTTTTTACATTCTTCTGTCCCCCAGGGTAAATTTTTCAGCATTAAATAAAACATTTCAAATATATTGTACGTGGCTTTAGTTGTAAGTACGTCGTGTGGCGGCAGGTAGTGCTCCCTGTTAGCCAAGCCCGGGACTTCTGTGGCCCTAGGAAGAAACAGCAAGCAGAGGTGGTACTCACGGGGCCCCCTCCACACGTTGTGGCCCCTGGAGGCTCACTGCGGTGACTGAGCGGTGATGGGGATGGTGCCTCTCACCTGCGTTTCCTGGACCAGCGGCTTCTCTGCCCTGGGAACCAACTAGAACTGCAGACCCTCAGGCCCTGCCCTGCCCTGGATGCTCGGAAACCTTGTCACCGTCCCTCCGTCCGGGCCTCCCGAGCACAGGCAGCAGCTCTTCCCGCCTTTGGCCTTCACTCGGTCCATGTGTCAGGTTCCTGGTTTGGGGAGGTTCTAAATTTGGTATTGTTTTTGTATGAAACGGCCGCCAGACTTAAGCTGGAGAAGCAGAAGATCCCGGTCAACGTGTGGCCCAGGCCAGCCGAGGGCCGTCCAGTGGAACAATCTGTGCTTAAGCAGGTTTTCGGTATGTGGGTCTTTTTCGGTGGTACGAAGAATCCGTTTAGGCTTGGCTGGTTTAAAACGGTGAATGTGTAAGTGATGTTAAAGTATCGGCAGGTTGTCCCAAGGAAGGGGTACCTTCATCACTGGTTGCTTACCCCATCCCCGCCAGCTGTGCGGCCCGTCAGCCCTTAACACAGCCGCCAGCTCAGGGCCCTTAAGCTTCTGTATGTAAAATTCATTCCCCTCATCCCCTGAAATCAGGGTTTTGCCAAATTTAAACTGACTTTTGAGTCCAAAAAGTTAGTTAATTCAGCCATTCAAAATAATGCTCTCTGGATGGCCCACGTGCCGAGGATGTGTAAAAACCAAAACTCTACAATTTTTATCTTTTTACACAGTCAGCAAGCAGGGAGCAAAGTGGTGTTGCTGCTGCGTGGGCGCGCCAGCTCGGGACCGCGTGTGCGGGACCCGTCTGAGCTCAGCGCTTGGGCGTCAAACCCGTTCCTTCTTGCAAGTGGGGGTTAAACCGTCTTGTGACGCAGAAACCCTTTCGCACCAGGCCTCCTTCCCCGCCAGCGGCAGACCACCCGGGGGGAGCACGTACCTTACTCTGATCCCGGCCACGAAGGCCCCTTGTGGACAGATGGCTCCGCACGGGCCGGGCCCCGGACGGGAGGACGGGGTGCAGTTGGCAGATCTCATCTCCAGTGCGGAGGGGCGCCTCCCTATATAGTGGCGACGTGGGGTGATGGGAACCCACGGTGGAGCCACAGCCCGTCTCCCCGGGGTGCAGCCCCCCAGCGGTCGTGCCCCAGCTGACAAGGGAGGGGCAGCACACACGGGGAGAAGTTCGTTTGAAAATTACTTATGCAGCTTTGGGTTTTGAGGTGTTCCAGAAGGTGAGGCGAGATCCTCGCAGAGCTCTGACCCCAGTGGGTTTTCTCAGTGCGCTGCGCTGCCTGAGGTTCTGGGCAAGTTTCTGACCAAGGATCATAAGACTGCTTCATGGAAAAGAGGAAAATGCTTTGAAACAGTATAAATTACATTTTTAATTATGGGAACACTACCTACATCTTTCAAAATTACAAGCAAACTGCCCCACCTTTATTATGCCATAAGCGAATTTAACAGTGTTGAACGTCAATCCTAGAAATCCGTCTCTGCAGCAGATAGCGGAAGCCTGGGTTTTCTCTGGTTTGTGACCGCTCCCTCGCTCGACTCCCCGCATGAATGAGGAACGGAGGGGCCTGCGGTGGGTGTGGTGAGGTGCAGACCGTGGGTGATCATGCCGGGCTCCTGGTGTGTGCAGTCCCTCCCTGGTCCCCTCCCCGGGGCCATCTGCCCCCAGTAGAGGCCCGGTTCCTCCTGCTCTCCCTTCCCACAGGGAAGCTAATGTGTGTGGCGTGTCTAAGTGTCAAGCCCTCGGCTTCAGAATTTGAGCCGAGCGCGGGAAAGCTAAGTCATGCTTAGTGTAGGTGGATCTCCTCCACTGAAGGTACACAAAATAGTTTCCAAAAAGTAGGAAAATAAACATATTAGGGCTTTAATCCTCTTAAATAAAATTTAAAGATTCAACATTAACATTTAAAATGTACCAAGCGTGCAATTCTTGGATTTTGAGCAAGTCCATCTTACTGGGGATACATTCAGGTCATCAGTAACTAGCTAAGAGAGATCTGAACATTTCTACAAACAGATGAACAACGGGGCAAAAGTGACTGATGTTGTCGAATTCAGTAACTGGCAAAATAAGGTGGTGAGATCTGTTCAGGTGTGTGTGCTCACTTCCCATCTCCAGAAGGAAGCCGGAAGTTGGGCATTTTCGCAGCTGGACGGTTACGATTGTAAATGAACTCATGTATGTTCTCCAGCGAGGGCATGGGGAAATTTTTCTGAGCAGGAAGGAACGCGCTTGGCTCTCGCCTTCCCTTCACTGGATGAAGGTACGGGCTGAGCACCCAGGACCCCGCATGCCACAGTGTGCCGGAGGGCCCTGCAAGGCTGGCTGGCCAGCCAGCCCAACCGTGGGGTTCCTGAAGACATCGGACTCATTAATGGTACTTGGACGTCGCCAGGCTTTGAGCAGCTAGAGCGTGATTCCTGACACTCTAGGGTCCAGTCGTGTCCCGCCGGCCTGTTCTCTTAAGCGTGTGGAGCGATTAAAGGTGTGTAAAAATCAACGAACAGACTCCCCAATTCAAGTTCATTCACGCATCTGCGCAACCGGCTTAATTTTCTGTTTAGCCACTGGTTACTAAAGCTTTCCAACAAGGACTGGGGAAGGGTCAAAAATATTCAGAGAGAAGATGAACCAGCCTTTCAAGAGTTACAGCAAGTGATTACAAAGAACCCACAGAAGCCCTCGCGAGGCCGCTAAGCCTCCTTCACCACCCCCACCAGGGCGGGTCTCAGGGTGCGCCCATGCAGCTTGTACCCCACTTTGCTGACCAGCGCCACCGTGCCGGGCTCCTTCCCCTCCACCGGCGTATGGAACAGGGCCTCATGCTCGTAGGGGTCGAACCTGGCCCCCACGGGGTTCAGCCGCAGCAAGCCGTGCTTCGTGAACACCTTCTGGATCTGCACCTCAGTCATTACAAGACCCTCGTAGAGGTTCTTCAGATGAGGATTGTCGTCTTTAACCTCCTCCTTTGGGACACTCTGCGTCGCCTTCTCCAAGATGTCCGCAACCTCCAGCAAGTCCTTACAGAAGCCCTGGATGCCTAAACGAAGTGAAGGACACCATCATCCGCAGTCCTACTGCCGGCAGGGCACCCGAGAGCTGTAACCCCGCCGACCTCTCACACAAACTCCTGTATGGTAACCTTTCAAACCATTCACTTGTCCTCAAATTTCAATGGTGTGTTAAAAAACAAAAACAAAACACACGAAAAACACCCAAAGCCCAAAAACACTTCTGGGTTTAGATGAGAACTAATTAGGCATGAAGACGTGCAGAAGCATCTCCCCATCAGTCCTGCCCCCCGCTAAGGAACCACGTGCTCGCCGCAGAACAGAACACCCCACCCC